CACCATGATCCATTTGGATTCAAACAAAAGTCAAAACATGAAAGTTGTAGCTTTTTGCATAATCTACAACTTTGATTCACAAAGTTTTCTCATTTGAAGCTTGTATCTCAAGTTATGATTTTTTGAATAAGGGCACTAAACCATCTTTTAACTTAGTGAAATTTGACCTATTTTGACAAGGTTTTCTACCCTACTTCAAAGCCACTTTTCATACCCTTCCACTTGGAATTTCAAATTGCATTTCAAAGATGGATTGTAGTACACATTCCAAGCTTTCCAAAATGTCCAAGAACTCATCAAACAACCTCATAACTTGAGAGATTCGAATTTCACAAGTTGGCAAAAATTCACTTTTGTTCTTCATCAAAGCATGTTCATAAACTTGGCAAATTTGAATTCAGCATGCTTAAGCTACATTGCAGGCCTCTAATCCCATTTTCACTCAATAATTCAATGCATATCCTTTGTGCTCTAGCATTATCTTGCTCATTTGGACAATACACACAAAATCAAGCCTAAACTAGAAAAAGCATATTATCCATTCTTGTAAAGTGTTACTTTATGGCAACTTTGCAAATCTATGAGGTACAATGCAGATCTTTGAAGCAAAAAGGCATGGGCATATCCCACTGATCAAGACTCAAATGTGCAGCATAGATTGAGGCATTGTACTGGCCTAGAAACCAAGTTGACATTTGCTTGCTTCACATAGAAGTAACATCCATAACTTATGCCATCTCTCATACCAGCATACAAACACAAGAACAAAGTTGTCAAACACATTACACATAACATATCCAAGCTAAGACACGAGCTCTTGACCTCCAAAACACCCTCCATCTCAGAATCATCCTCAAACTGCAAAAACAGGGGTGCCCCTGCAGTTTGAGTTCAAACTCCCAATCCCTTCAAGCATTTTGATTCAAACCTTTTCCTCTACCTTCCCTACAATATATACAAGCTATCCATATCCTAAAATCAGACCTGTAACACCTCCAAGCCACTTCACCATTTTTAATTTTCTGTTTTGCAGTTGGAGTTCGTTAGCTCGATTCAGGAAGTTTCAAGGCAAAGTAGGAATTGGAAAAGCTTCCTTACACTTCAAGGAAGCTGTACAAGTCCTCATTTCACTCTGAAACATCTTCCATTGCCCAGCTCGATTCCAACTGAACAGGTATATTCATGGAGTTCTATCTCTCTTGTTAGGCATTGTTAGCTTTAGGTTTCTGAAGAAAACATGTCACAATCATAGCCCTGAACATGCTCATATGATTAGATTTCATTTATGTTTCGTGTGCTTAGAGAATTTCATGTCTGAACATTGATGAAAAGTTAGGTCAGAAAAGAGGGGGAGAGAAATTCTCCCTCATCTTAGAGAGATAGGTCATGTTCTTTATATGGTTGAAACCGTCTCTTAATGCTCTACACTTTTCATGTTATGAGTTTTGCTTGAAAGTCCAGGAATCCAGAGATAAAAAACGCGTGTTTTGTGTGAAGAAAGCTGTACAGAGGTTGAAGAAGAAGTGATCTGGGCTGGGCCTGGATTTGTTTCCTTTTCACACCCCATTTTTTGGTTTACACCCCCCTGAGCCCATTTGCTCATTTTTTGACATTTTTGACTTTTTCTTTTTGGGTTGACTTTGTTTATTTTTTCTCATACCATTAAAATTTTTAAAATATTTTTTCCATCACTTTTTGTATTTATGGCATATTTATTTGTTTATTTCTTTTGTTATATACAAATATATATATATATATATACTATTATTGAAATAAATAGAAAATAGTGTAGATGCATTTTTATTTTTTATTTACTTTATGAAAATATTTTACACAAAAAAATACTTTTTATTTTTAAAATATTTAAATATTTATTTTAGAATAATACATATTTAGGGTTATATATATATATATATATATATTTGATTATTAATGTATTTAAGAAAAGGTATAAAAATACTTGATTTTTTTTATTTTATTAACATTTGATACAAAAAATATTTTTTTTACAATATACTTCATTTTAGGTTATTTTTATAGATAATAAATAAATAGTTGTATTAAAATTAAATAATACCTTTTATTTAAAAATTAGGGTTTTTTTTTTACCCTAAGTCCAAAATACTAAAAAATAAATACATTTTATTTTCTTTTTCCTTTTACATAAATAATATTTTCTCATACACATAGAAACTTTCTTTTTACATTTCACATATTTATTTAATTTACATTTAATTATGCATTGCAAAAATATCCAATTGTTGTAATAATTTAGATCTAAATTCTTGTCAATATCCCCATTTGAACATTTGTACCCCCCTTCCCATATTTGGTTGTGTAATAGTTTAGTAATTTTAATTTCGCACTTTATTGCTTTCTAAATAATAACATGCTAGAATTAGGGTTTGTATGCGAAAAAACGAAAAAAATAGTTTGACCTAATACAAGATAAACAAGCATGAAAATGAATACACAAATCACACTTGCATCCCCTAGGGTATTTCACTTGTTGCCTTCAAATAAATGGGCCATATTGTATGTTGAACATCTTTGGGCAAAGCAAACAGTTTGAATGATCATAGTCCCTCGACAAAACTTTTCAAAACAAACAAAACAAATGATCAAGTCCCTTAGAGAAATTGCCCAAAGACATTTAACGTCGTTACAATTATGGTCTATACGATGACCCGCGCCTGTCCCTTTCACATCCTAACACAAGGTTGCCCACCAACACAATGGTGGTGCAAACTTGTTAAAAGGGTTAGAATATAGCAATAATCTTTTGAGAAAATTAGGAGTAGATAACCTCTTAGTTACTTGAAACAACTTGCAAAACAAAACACTTGCCTAATTTCAAAACCACACAACACTACACTTTCAAAACAACTTTCAAAAACAAATGAAAACCTTTTCAAAAGACATACATCTTTGTATACATCCCCACATGGATCATTGCAAAGGTTGCCACCACATTGGCCTCTTTTCAAAACATTTTCAAAACCCACACACTCAAAGCACCATTTAAAACAATTGAAAACAAAAGGCAAGTGATCTAAGCAAGTAACTAAGAGCCCATGGATAACCATGGATAGAAAGGGTGCTAATACCTTCCCTTTCTATAATCTACTCCCCGAACCCAAGAAAACATCTCAAAAGGTTTTTGCTGTGCTTTTTAACCTTTCCTTAGGATAAAATAAAAGTCGGTGGCGACTCTTGCTAACCGCAACATTTGCGAATACAAAACCTCAAGTCAGTTCTCCCACCGTATCACAGATGGCGACTTCATTGAATTTTATCTTTGATGATTTCAGCCGGTTGTTTCAGCTGTCGACTTTACTGGGGATAAATTGACCTATTGCTGGTCCATCCTTAGCAAGTTAGTACTAGCTTGTGTTTGTTTTCTTTTCTTGGGTGTTTATGTGTTATTACTTTCCAACTTTATTTGTTTATATACTTTGATTATATGCTTTCATGGATTGCATTTTATTGTTTTCTACACTCTGGATACTATTTCAGTGGGGGTGGGATAATGCTTTCTAAGGTAAAAGGCCCAGTACACAGGCCAGAGTTGTGAACTCATAGGAAACCTAGGAATAAAGTGGGGACATGACAGATATAGGACGTGATCCGGTTAGTGCAGTCATGTCATATACCATGCTCGGATGAGGTTTAAGTGAAGGTACTTTCATCATGCACGTATGTGTTACAATAATTTTACTTTCAGGTGGACCCGTGATTTCTGAGTTACCCTTGCCTTACCCTGACTTAGTCTTCACCCGTGAGTGAGAGGGATGATTTCTTACAGGTACAGTTGGTGACTTTGATTGTATTGGTAACTCTAGTTCTAAAGATGACTTTGGTTCAGTTGGTGACTCTCTTTCTGGTGGTAACTTTGGTTGGTGACTATTGTTGGTGACTGTCTCGAACCTTTAAACCTATGACTCCATGCAACAGAACAACAGTGTCCAATACATTGGAAACTCTGGTCCTATCATGTTACATCATGGCATATTCACTTTTCAAAAAAAAATGTTGTACAAAAAATGATTAACCTGCATATGCATTGTTGTTTCCAGGGTTTCCAGAGTTTTCTTTTCCTTTAAGAATGACAAACAACACTGATATCGTCATGAAGACCAAGATGGATAACTTCAACTACCAGTTTCGTCTAAGTGTTTGGCCCTTTCTTGGAGAACTCAGAGATCTCATGAATTGCCAACAAATGGGTGTTTTTGGTGAAAGATATGGGAATCACCTATCTTTGTTGGATGCTCACATTGATGATAAGGCTGTTCAGAGTTTGCTATAGTTTAATGATCCAGAGTTGTGTTGTTTCACATTTCAAGATTATCAGTTGGCACCCGCTCTTGAGGAGTATTCTCATCTTCTCCACATCCGAATTATTAATCACATTCCATTCATCCAGATCACTGTTGAGCCTGACTATGAAGCTATTGGTAGGTGTTGCACCCTAAATTTTGCCCCTAATTTTTTTAGTAGCATTATTATATCATACTTTGTCATTTGGTCATGATCTTTAATAAATATCTGCAGTCATCCCATTTTGCATCATTTAGTCGTGTTTAGGTTATCCAAAAATCTTTTTTTTTCATTTACATTTTCATTTTTGCGAGCATTTGCACCTTTTTATCTCAATTGCAATTTAATTTTCTTTTAGATTTTTATTTTCGTTCTTTTATTTTATTATTAAGAAAATATTATAAAAAAGATGATGAAAAGTGTTTTAATTTTTTATAAATTTTTTTGTTTTAAGTTTTAATTTAGAAATTATAAAAATTTGTACATAAAAAATGTTTTAATTAAGTTTTTAGTTTAGATTTAATTGTAAATTTATATTATAAGAATTTGGTATATAACATTTTTGTTTTCCATTTAAATATATTTCCTAACAAAATATCTTGCAGAAGGGTTTGTTGGTCTTTTGGTTTGACCTAAGGGATACGATTTGTTTTCATTGGTTATAAGAGAGAGTTGAGGATTTATAGAAAAGGGGGAACAAAAACGAAAAGAGCAGAGAGATCAGGTAATAAATTGGGGGAATCCATTTTCTTCTTCGTTCTTAATTGCCAACAGCTACCTCTACTCCTCCATCGAAATTTCTTCATCCCTCTCTGCCTCACCGTTTTTATCACAGTCCTTCCATCAACCTTCCATCTGCTTCTCAATTTCCATTTCCACGCCATAACAACAAACCATAATACCACCACATTACCATTTTTCATCAATCGATCGGCCTTAAACATCATCACCATCTCCATTTTCACATTCACACAAACCTTTATCTTCTCATGATCTCCATCATCATCATCGTGAAAATTACCTTCATCGTCCATCACAGGTACCACCTTCGTCATCTTCCTGCGATCCAGCCGTGTCTCACATCTCTCTTCCTTCCGCAGTAACAACAATCGCCTACTTCCGCCGCCGTTCAACAACAACAGCAATATCCCATAGCAGCTTCGACATTCAGTAACTTTCAATTTATTTTGCTTGTAACTGTGATTGATGTGAAAATTTGTGTTGAATTGGTTTGATATGTTGAATTTGATTGTTTGAGTAGAAACTCTATGGTCTGATAGTTTGAACTAAATCATTGTGCTGAAATTCTGTTTAACTTGCATTTGCCATGGTTGTGTCGGATTAGAGCGACTATCGCTTTAATATTGTGTTGGTTTCTATTAAATCTAGATTATCATGTTAACATCGTGTTCGTTTGGCGTAAATTTGGTCATTGAAAATTCTGTTTTGAGTGTCTATATCATGTTGTTTCGTTGATAGAATTCTGGTTCATTTGTGTTAAACCATATTGAGTTTTTATCATGTTATATGAGCAAATTTGAAGGAGATTATGATGACATTCAATTGGAATTAGAAGGAAAATTTGGTTGTAAGCATCGTTGCATATTTCACTTGTTTTGAATACTTTTGAGATTGAGTTTTTGAACGTTGTTTCATATACATTAGTTACTGCTCGAATTTGATTTTGTTTGATCTTAGCTTGTTTCGAAATCAATTTTCTATGTTTCTATTTTGGTTTGAATAATAGCACGAGTTTCTTTGGTTTTAGCTCATTTGTGAATTGAAATACTTGAATAATCGATTGTTTGGTTCTTGAATTGTTCATGTGCACCATGCAAATTTCATTTTGATTGTATACCTCGTGATTACTAACACATGTTCTAGTTATTGAAATTTCGTTTGATTTCATTTTAATCCCTCTTATGCTACTAACTAACGAGTTTGTTATTGTGAAGGCATTCAAGGATTGTCCAAGCATACATTTTCTCTTAACACATCTATACATTGTCATTTATATTTTTATTGTATTTATTTTACTATTTTTGTTAATATTTAGTGTAAATATATAATTATACATAATAATTTTGATTTTATATTTTATTCAATTCACTTGTAAATAAATTCAAGTTATGTTAATATTCTTTTCATTGCATTGCGATTTTAAACTTTAATTCAAGTTAGCTTTTTAAAATCGGATAGACGCATATATTTTTGCCCGACAACTTATAGATTTGATTCCTACATGAATCTATTCTAAAAAAAAAACATAATAAAGTGCTATATTCAGTAATTTACACTTGAGCATTATTCAGATTTCGGATTGTATCCTTGTACTGTTGGATTTGTCTGTGTGTTTCATGTGATGTAGGGGTTATTATCCGATATCTCAAACCTTATCCAATACCATGACCTTTATTTGTCGCCTTTGTGCTTTATCGGATTCCTCTTGGATTTATCCATGCTTTCTTCGTCTGTGATTTTTTTTCACGTATGGCGCTCCTCACTTATGATTCAATATGCTTTATCTAATGCTTGGAGTATTATTTGACATTTGGGTTTCTTTGATGTTGTCGGTTCGTGATTTATTTTCACTTGAGGTTTGGTATACTCTCGTCTTATTTATCTGTTTGTGGCTGTAAACTCAAAGGGATGACAACACTGTATTGACTTTATCATGTCAAGTACTGGTTTCTTATTCGGTCAGATCCTCTTTACATTATCTTTTACCCTCATGTACATAAGAAACTCTCTTCATCTCCTCCAATTCTTTAATTTTCAAAACTTTCTCATTTTTTTTTTTAAAAACCTTCTTTGTTTGTAAACTCGAATAACTTTCATAATAAACCTCGACTTTGTCGAGTGCCTTTTCTTTTAAAACTTCTTTTCTTTAAACAAACTTCAACTCATTTAATCATACTTCGACATTTTTCAAAATTAACAAAAACACTTCAACTCATTCAAAACCTTTTGTGCGCTCGAGCACCTTTTATCCTTTAAAATTTTTCCAAGATTAGACATGATTCATTTATCGTCGAGCAACATTTTCCTATCCCCATGGTTATAAAGGTGTCGACTTTTCCACTTGAGTATTAAAGGTGTTCTCAAACCCTCACTCATGCTGACGCAGAGTCCATCTTTCTTACACCTTGTGAGCGTTAGTTGAGATTTCTCTTCTAAAAATGATGACTTGTCTCTTCGTTTAAAATCAACCAACAGACAAGTCTTTTCCCGCCGAACTACGATTCTCTGACTTTTCCATTGCACAAGGGAGTACGTAGGCACTAAGTCCCGTGACCCAAGGCGAGCAAAAATAACAAAAAAATATTTTCTTTTGTTTGAAAATACTCATTCATTCTTTTCCTTTAGCAAGTCAAGCCTTTAGATAACACACCTTTTAAAAGAAAACAAACAAAGTGGATCATGCAGAGTACCGTAGATGCTTAAGATGCTAATACTTTCCCTTTGTATAATCGACCCCCGTACCTCAATCTTTGGTGTTTTATTTCATTGTGGGTTTTGTTCGCTTTTTTCTCATTTCCCTTTGAAAATAATAAAGTGCGGTGGCGACTTCATTGAGTGAGTTAAGTCAATTGATGGCTTAATCTCAAATCCTTACCGCTACATCTTTTTCGCATTTTTACACGGTGTGACACTAGGGTTCTTTATTTGAGCCTTAGTAATGTAAAAGGAAAGTGGAGACATAATAAAGTCACTTGTAGTCTTCCGGTAAATTTCATGAAAGGAAAGATTAAAGAAATGGCCAACAAGGGACATTGGGATGCTTATTATGCATTATTGGCTGCTACCATTTATGGAGTTGTTCTCTTCCCTGAGATTAAAGAGATAGTGGACTTGGCTGCTTTATGCGTCTTCATGAATAAAAATCTGATACCTACCTTATTAGCTGACACTTATCATGCCATTCACTCTAGGTATGGGAAGAAGGGAGTAGTGGTATGTTGTGTGCCAATGCTCTACAAATGGTTCATGGCACAGTTACCTACAAAGGGACCATTCAAGGAAGACCCTCTTTCTTGGGCATCCAAAGTGATGATGCTCACCTCTATTGATATTCAGTGATGCAAACTTAAAGTTGATAGTATTGAGGTAATCTTTAATTGTGTAGGTTTCTCTAATGTTCCACTCATAGGAACAAAATGGATTATCAATTACAATCCAGTACTCGCTCTTCGCCAGTTAAGCTATACTATGAGACGTCCACCCACAACTAAAGAAGTTGAACTTGTGTACTGCAAAAAGGGAGAAAACCTTGCATTGTTGAAAAAAGCAGAAGTTGCTTGGGCTCACATTGGTAGGAAAGGAAAAGAGTTCTTTGGGTTAAAGGAGGTGTTAGCTTTTGATCCTTATATGGATTGGGTGAAAGAAAGAGTTAAAACTCTTATGTTGCCTTTTGAAAAGAGACATCCTTGTACCCTCAACCCATTGAGCTACATCACGATGTACCTAAAGAACGCTTTTATCAAGTGCAATTGGAAAATAGGGATCTTCGTCAAAATATTGAAGACAAAGAAATGGAAATATACTTCTTGACAGAAAAGAAGAGAGAATTAGTCCGTCAGCTAAAAGAATATAAAGGTGGAGGTAGTTCTGAAGGTAGGAAGAACAAAAGAAGACTTGGAACAGAAAACTTTTTTATATCTACAGAGGAGTATCAGATGGCTATGAAATTCCAAATGGCCAACAATAGAAGCGAGGCAAAAGCCAAAGAGTTGGGAAAGCAGTTTAAAGGTACTATGTTAGAGCTGGAAGCAAAGGAAGCTCAGATGAGTGAAGTAATGAAAGAAAATGCCAGACTCCGAGAAAAAATAAAAGAAATGGAAGATGCGCCCGTACCCATACCTTTGCTAAAATACAAGGAGTGTGACCACTTCCTGGAGCAATGTATTTCAGAAAAACATGGTGATTGATAGCTTCGCACGTGGACGAGATCATGAAAAGACAAGGAAATTGTTTACAGAAACCAAAGAATGGAGTGAAGGGTACTTCCGGCACGGGGGACCATTATACTACACGGAGATCAGAGGTCCACCATATTGATTGTCGTTTTTCTTTCTTCTTTAATGTAATTTGATCACCACCAGTCTTGTTGGATGGGATCATTTATATTTTCATTATGTATTTTGAATCATTCTTGTACGAATTCACCATTGATCATATGAATCATTTTAATAAAGTCGATCATCGTTGTTATATCTCTTGTCAATCGTTGATTATCTCTCTTATCATGTTTGTTTAAAGTTCCTAGGGGTTGACATAACTTTTGGATACCCTGGAAATGATAAAACATTTCATGCATGATCATTCATTCATGCATATCATATCATAGCAGGTGGTTCCCACAAGTCTCTTATCTTCAATCTGGGTTTTCTTTTCAAAAATTGCTACTACAAACTCGCACCGCTACAACACTAGGAGTACTTCCAGAAAGAAAATGGAACAAATTCCGACAGATGTTGTTGCTATGGGTACCAGGATGGATACTCGGGTTGACCAGTTGATGGAGATCATTCAAAACATGGCTCGTCAGTAAGAGGAAATGAGAGCCATGATTATGAGGCTTGCTAAAACTTTGAATAATGGTGGTGGAACTTTGAATGTGAATCTGTAAAGGGTCGTCGTCAACAATCCTAATTATGCTTTGGGTACTCAGAATGTAATTGAGAATCCGGGAGGTGCTCGGAATGGGAATCTGGATTCGAATGTCGGTATGAATATTCAGAACGGTCAGCCTGCAACTCTCGGCGGTCCTGGAAATAACTAAGGTATCCCTGTGGTTCAAATTATGGGGAATCCTCCTCCACCTACTCATGTTCGTCAGAGTATTGAAAAACCTATATACCACTGAGGCCTATTCACATTCCTGCTAGGCCAGTGGAAGATGATAACTTGGAAAACTGGATGTCTAATGCCGATGAGCCAACAAAATCTGAAAGAAGTTGCATATGCTTGAAGAGCAGATGTGCAGGTTTGAAAGTCAAGGAGCAGTAGGCTTTGACATGTCTGATTTTAGCTCAATGCCTGGGGTGAAGATTCCCCCAAAATTCAAGGTGCCTGATTTCGTGAAATACAAAGGCACTTCCTGTTCAAAGACCCATGTTAAGTCTTTTTCCCGGAAGATGTCTGGGTATTCTGATGATGAGAAGATATTGATGCACTTCTTTCAAGACAGCTTGACGGGTGGCCCCCTAGAGTGGTACATACAGTTCAAAAGTAGCCTCATCCGTACACGGAGAGAGTTGGTTGAGGCTTTTGTTATGCACTATCAGTATAACACTGACATGGCTCCCATAAGAAGCCAATTGCCGAATTTGTCCCAGAAGAGGGATGAGTCTTTCAAAGAGTATGCCCAAAGGTGGAAAGAGATGGCTGCAAAGGTTCAACCGCCCATGTTGGAGCGGGATATGGTGGAAATGTTTAGTAGTACATTACAGGGCCAGTACTACACAACTTGCAGTACATCAGGTAATTTTGTCGAGATGGTAACACATGGGGAGCGAATTGAAGTCGGAATAAAGTTAGGAACGATCCAAGATGTTGTTGCTGGAAATAATGTTAGTAATACTAAGAAGTCTTTTGGTGGTCACCAATAGAAAAATGAGGGTGAATCCAGCATAATCTATTCTCGAAAAGAGAAGGACATATATCAGGGTTCAGCTCATCAGATTATTGATATTACAATACTTACTACTACGCCTCAGAGGCAAGCTTATATGCTTAAGCAAGGCAATCAACAAGGCCAAAGGCGTCCCCTGAGGAAGTTCGATGCACTTCCCATGACATGTGCGGAGTTGTTACCTCAATTGCTTGAGTTAAAGCTAGTTGAGTTACGCCCTTGGAAGGTTGATCCAGAAAGATTACCAGCTCACTTTGATGCTAATACCCGATGTGATTATCACTATGGCGGGCAGAGGCATACTATTGAGAATCTCTATGCTTCCAAGCATAAGGTTCAAGACCTATTGGACTCCCAGGCCATTAACTTTGGACGAA